ATGAAAAATTCTTCTGAACATTCATTAATCTTAGGTATTCCAATATTTAATAACACGTTGTTAAAATCGAAAGTTGCAACTGTGTTATTTAATGAGCTAACATGAACTAAGACTTTTTTAAACAAAGATTAATAACTTCTGTAGCAAATGTAGCTATTGCTCATTGTGAATGTTAATGCATTCACTAAGGTTAACTAATGAGGTCTTATTGTAAAGTGATACCTATTGGTCTTTATAGTTATTTTGCACTTTAATCGGTGTAAAACTTTTAACTTTATACGTTTTTCTGTATTGCTTTATTGCATTTAAATGTTGTTATTTTTGTTGTAAGAAAAAAAGTTATTAACTTAAGTGAGCGTCGTGCAGGGCTTTACTGTGGCAGTGTCACAGAGTCCACAACTTCTTTTTTTAATCTTCACAGGACCCTCCCATTTAGGAGCTAGTTTAGATGAAAAGAAATCATCGGCTTTTGACATCGGATGAGCACGGACCCAAACCAGGTCTCCCTCTTGGAACTGTACAAATTTCCGTCTGGCATTATAATATCTGACTTGTTTGGTGTGTGCTTTCCTCATTGCCTTTAGAGCATCCTGCTGGAGTTGTTGTTGTCGTTCTATGAGGGAATATCCTGATTGTCCCAGATTTGGAGGGTGAGCAACAAGTCATTCTAGGGGACCCTTCAACTGCCTGCCCAGTGCTAGTTCAGCAGGTGAGTGTCCTGTGGTCTCATTGCAAGCGGTGTTAATAGCTTAACGAAATTCAGCCAGCCACCTGTCCCAGTCACGATGGCTTTCCCCTACAAAGGATGCCATCATGGTCTTGATAGTTCTGTTGACTCGCTCCGAGAGATTTGTTTCAGGGTGGTAGCTGGTGGTGAGCTTCCTTGTTACTCCCCATCTCTTACACAGATCCTCCATCAGCTGGCTTAGAAACTGGGGCCCATGGTCTGACAGTAGGAATTTTGGAACTTCCCACCTTGTAAAAACCTCCTCTTGCAGAATCTGGCAGATTCGATGTGTCTTGCTATCTCTGATGGGAAAAAGCTCTAGCCATTTGGTGAAATAATCGACTACTACCAGAAGATACACATTCCCCTTTATACTTTTGGGAAGGGGCCCCATAAGGTCCACCCCTAACATGTACCCTGGCTCCTCCACCTCCATGGACTGGAGAAAACCAGAGGGTTTGGTGTTGCTGGGCTTGTATTTCTGGCAGACTATGCATTCTTTCACATACTTCCATACATCTTTGCGCACTTCTGGCCACCAGGCGACTTCTAAGATTTTCAGAAGTGTCTTCATTCTTCCTAGATGTGCCCCTAGTGGATTGTTATGGAAGTAATTAATGAAGGTAGTGGTTAGAGTCTTGGGCACTACTAGCTGGTACTTTGTACCCGCAGCAAAGGGCGACACTCTGTACAACACTCCTTGCTGGTCTTCCCATCTAATGCGGTTGATGTCATCCGTGATTCCGAGCCCCCCCTTTAACTCACTCTGGGCTTTTAATATTTCTGCCATGGTTGATGGGATATCCAAATTCCAATGGGAGGATTTCTCGTCAACATACACCACTAAGGGAACGTTGCAATGCTGAGCTCTTGACAAGGCACTACATTCAACCGTCCCTTCCGGTATTGTACCTAGAAGTGAAACCGCTGGAACCTTAAGGTCCATCTCGTCAACCGAGAGGTAGTTTTGGGTGAGTTAAAGGCCCAGGTCAAGGCAGCATGGTCCGTATACACCACGAACAGTACTCCCTCCAGGTAGTGGTGCCATTTTTCGACAGCCCACACCACTGCAAGGCACTCTTTTTCTGTGGTTGAATAGTTCACCTCTGCTCCCCTCAAACCTCTCGAGGCATATGAAATCACCTTTTCTTCTCCACTGATGTTCTGGGTTAGAACTGCTCCCAGGCCAGCTGAGCTAGCATCCGACTGGACCGGGAAGGGTTGCGACAGATCAGGTTGAACTAGTACAGGGGCATGTTGTAGAGCATGTTTGAGACTCTCAAAGCTCAACTGGGTCTCTTTGGTCTAAGTCCATTTCACCGCTTTCCTTTTAAGGTGGTTCAATGGGGCAGCCAGTTCAGCAAAGTGTGGGATAAACTTGTGGTACCACCCAACTAACCCCAAGAACCTCTGAAGTTCCAACAAGTTTTGTGGGGTTGGGTACTCACTAATGGCGGTGATCTTGTCCGAGTCAACTTTTACTCCCTCCTCGGACACAACATGTCCCAAAAACTTGAGCTCTGCTTTCATGAAGTGGCATTTCTTTAAATTTAGGGCAAGATTAACCTCTTTCATCTTATGAAAGACAGCTTCAAGATCTTTTAAGTGTCGTTATTGGCTTGGGGAGTAGACAATAATGTCATCTATATAGACGAAACACACACTTCCTCTTAACTTACCCAACACTTTCTCCATCAACCTCTGGAACGTGGCCCCAGCATTTTTCAGCCCAAAGGGCATGGTCAAGAAATGAAATAATCCAAAGGGGGTTATAAAGGCTGTCTTTTCCCTGCTGCTTTCTTCCATTTCGACTTGCCAGTATCCAGATTTTAAGTCGAGGATACTGAAATAATGGGCATCTTGCAACGACTCCAGTATATATAGTGGATGAGAGGCATCGGGTAGGCATCTTGGGGAGTTTTGGAATTAAGTCGGCGATAATCCACGCAGAACCTTAGACTGCCATCTGTCTTTGGGACCAATACTACTGGAGATGCCCAAGGGGATTGAGACGGCTCGATGATGCCTTCTTGCATCATCTTATCGATCTCCCTTTCCATCACCTCTTTCTTTAAGGGAGAAACTCTATAGGCTTTCGACCGAACTGGCATGTCATCCATTGTTACAATCCGATGGGTAGCTTGATTGGTTCTCCCTAGAGTTCCAGAACAGACAGTTGCCCATTTATTTAGGAAGGGTTGGAATTCCGGAGGATGACTTGCTATGATGTATTTTCTGCTAGTGACTATCGCAGTGGCTGTCTCCAGCTCTCCACCCTTCTCCATTGGCACAGCCATGAACAACGAGGTAACCATTTCCCTCTTCAGAATGCACTGCTATTCCCACTGTGGTTGCTGGAGAAAAGGGTAGACTCGAACTTGCCCTTTGACCTTGAGCTCATAGCTCATTTCAGCGACATTCAGCTGTACCCCAGTTTGTCTCAGGAAGTCCAGTTCGAGGATCAGAGGAAATGCCAGGTGTTCATTTGACATTATATAGGTGTCAATGGTCCAGACCATTCCATGCCACTCATAAACCACAGGACTTCTACCCTCTGATATGTGAGCCTTTCCATCTGCCACCATGAACATCCTGTTTGAAGTCTGCAGCAGTCTTTCTTCTGGTTTTTTTACAGCCTCCCATAACTGTTTCTGCATTAAAGAGTAGGTTGAACCAGTGTCGACAATGGCTTTGACGTGGTAATTCCTCACATCTACAGCCACTTTCAGCAGAGGATGTGTGGTTGTTTTAATCAATGAGACATGTTGAACTGATGTACTTGGTGATTTGGATTGTTGGTCACGTCGGAATGAGGCACTCTTTATTCCTTCATTAGTTACCTTGAGTTGGTTGACTCGAGCCCAGTAGTCCTTCTTTGAATTCAAGTCCCTCTCTACCAAAGATCCCACTTTAATTAGCTGCTCTACGGTATGCACTGCACCTCTGAGACTGCTCGCCAGGGAAGGGTTACAACTATTTAGAATTTGTCTTACTACCTCCTCTTCTGGCAAGTCATCCCTCCATCTCAGACTCAGAGCTCTATAATCATAGGTAGTCACGTATACTCTGATTTGGGCCCTGAATCATAGCCTTTAGCTGGTCTTCTAACTCAGTCAGGTAATCGGTAGAAAGAAAGGCAGACATGAAGGAGTGTTTGAACTCATCCCAGTTGCGTATCTTTAACTTTTCAGCTGCCCACCAACTCCTCGCAGGACCTGTTAGCACTGCATTGATTGTGACAAGCATATCCACATCTGTGAGAGGTCTGAATGACAGGAAGTTTTCACACTTTTCAATGAACTCCAAAACATCACAGGTTTCACGGTTTTGTCCGAAGGTAGGGAACTCTAGGTTGAAAGGAGGTTTGGGTGCCAACGAAGAAGGAATTGCAGAGGGAAGATATCCTGGATCAGAAAAGCTATGGCTAAAAGGACGGGGCGATAATGGGGTACTGGTTGTCTTTACTCGTGACATTTCATTTTCCAGTGCTCATCACGCCGCTTAAGACAATTCACCATCTCTGTCTCTAAACGGGTCAAAGATCTATTCATTCCCCTTTCTAATGCATCGAAACGTTGATCAATGACATCCCCGAAACAGGCCTCCCTGTTAACAATGCTGTTGTTGCTGGCCATGAAATAATTTTTGAGCATTTGCACCTCTGTCTGCAGAGCCTGGAGGATTAAAGAGAGTTTAGTTATTTGAGTTTCAAGTTGTTCAAACATTTCTCTCCTAGGTTTCAGCATTGGGGGATCATCCTCTTCACTTCCTCCAGCCTGGCTACCAATATACATATCACTCATCATGGAACTTAATTCTATTACCGGCAATGGTTCTCTGTATGAAACACCACGGGGTGGTTGATAAGGATGGGCCTCTGGACACTCATCCCCCTCACTTGCCACTGCCTGCTCACAAACCTTATCTGATGGGTTATCCATGATTTACAGAGATACTTTTGCAAAAATATAAAAGGTACAATATCAATCTTTAAACAGTATCTCACAATAATTCAATCCCCATACGGGGCAACATTTATAACAACCCCAACTCTTTACAAAAGGGTTGAATCGTTATCACAAGTGGTTTTGACTATTGTTTCCTTTTACTCGTTTGCCAAAAATGTAAAACACAGAAACAGCATGATTACAAACACATCAAAGTCCCCAAACAACACTGTATTGAAAATATGAGGCAAATTAGACACTTGTTAGACAAATGCAAAGATAACCCAATCTGTTGACTCTTTTATAAACCCAAATGAGTAGGCTTGTTGCCCACAATCCAACAGTCCTTTCGAGCAAAAAAATTATAATAAAGATGATACTCAACAGTCCTTTTCTGCTTTGGGGGTAGAGAGGAAATTTAAAGTCCTGATGAAAAACACAATGTCCCCAAAAAGAGAAAAATATAAGTCCACTGGTTCAAGGCCCCACAAAAAAACAGGTTATCCTCCAGCTGTAAAAAGTCCCCAGAGTATAGTCCAAAAACGTATATCCCCGACCAGAGCGTGCCCTATGAAATGGTTTCAAAGTCAAATCTAAGACTTTTTAGATTTCAAATCTAAGATGATCTAAGACTTTTTCTATTTACACAAAAGGCCTATTTCTCTCAAATATTGTTCACAAATCTGTCTAAATCGGTGTTAGTGAGCACTTCTCCTTTGCCGAGATAATCCATCCACTTCACAGGTGTGGCATATCAAGATGCTGATTAGACAGCATGATTATTGCACAGGTGTGCCTTAGGCTGGCCACAATAACAATGTCTCTATTCCCAGAGATCACTTTGGACAATTACACAGAGCTAGTTTAGCCAAAAAACCAAGCCACCTCACCAAACACAAAAAGCTTCCTTTTAAAATGGCCGCCTTTTCCTCTTATCCATATGCCCACCATAATAAGAGTCCTTAGAGGCCAACAAAAGTCCCCCTCAAACAACATGCTTGTGCAAATGCTCAAAATCAACATACACTCAGAAAAAAAACTAAACTATAAATACATAGGCATGGCACATATACATAATTACTTTTTTTGTAACTTAAGTGAGCGTCGTGCAGGGCTTTACTGTGGCAGTGTCACAGCACTATATCTGTATTTTATGCAAAATGTCTGTCTTATGCAAATTTATTGATGACACTATTCACTACATAGCATGTGAGAGTCAAATATGATCTTACCTCAGTGTCTCCAGTTTACAGTGAGGATCCTGTAGTACATCAGAAAACAGCTTCACTGAAATATATATATATATATATATATATATATATATAGTGTATATATATATATATATATATATATACTGAATTAATTTATACCATGAGAAAAAGAAATGCACATGAATTTCTTAATGTCAAAATATCCAAGTTTCATGGGAAAATGTACACAAATAAAAAAATGTTAAGACTGGATTAAATCACCATTTTTCTATTAATTGAGGAAATTGTAATTGTATGTAATTGTATTGTAATTGAGTAAAACTGAAATTAATGTAATTCATCTTTTAACAAACTTTTAACTGGTTGAACATGATTAAAACTAATCCTCAAGCTGGACTGTGAAATGGCAGATAGTTAATGTGTTTTAATGTAAGTCTGAATCTCGCTCTTGTCATTCCAGATGTCTCAAAGAAATATAAATAACAAACAATTATAATTAATAACTACCTTGTAGATTTAATTGTTGTCTTCAAAAGTGTGTGTTCAAGTATGCTGCTGTTTTGCTCCATTAACTGATTCATCAGATTTGAGGAGATTTGAGCTGCTGTATATATGAGCTGCTTCTCCACTTGTTTGGTTGCTCTCGATTTCTGCTTGCTCTTTTATGCCAGATGAGAAATATTTAAATTCCTTCTTTATGTTAATTTTGACATTTTTAACTGGAAAACCTGAATTATTTATATGCGACTTCTCTGACTTTGTTTGAATGCCTGAAGAAATCTTTTACAGTGTCTCTGTATTGAAAACACATCAAAATGCTGACCACTAATAATAGCTATAGCACTGAAGATTTATGAGCTTTTAACTTAGATTTTCTTAATGTTTTAACAGTGAAGTGATTGTTCTCAGTGATACTTACTGAACTGATCTGGATTCTTTAATCACAAGCAGCAACTTCTGAAGAACTTTCATATTTTCAGGATTATTCTGTTCTTCAACAAATTTATCAAGACGAAACTCATTCAGTTCCTCTTCTGATGTCAACAACACAAAAACTACAGCTGACCACTGAGATGAAGAGAGTTTGGCTTCCTTTATTCCTCCAGATTTCAGATACTGTTGTATTTCCTCCACTAGTGAACGATCACCCAGTTCATTCAGACAGTGGAACAGATTGATGGATTTCTCTGGAGAGTCAATGGTCCTGATCTTCTTCTTGATGAACTCATTGCTGTCAGAGTTGCTTATTTTCACCACTAATAATAGCTACAGCACTGAAGATTTATGAGCTTTTAACTTTGATTTTCTTAATGTTTTAACAGTGAAGTGATTGTTCTCATTGATACTTACTGAACTGATCTGGATTCTTTAATCACAGGCAGCAACTTCTGAAGAACGTTCATATTTTCAGGATTATTCTTTCCTTTAACAAATTTATCAAGACAAAACTCATTCAGTTCCTCTTCCTCTCCACTCTCACTCTCTGTGATGTAGAGCTCTGTGTAGATCTCATTCAGCAGTGTTGGGTTTCTCTGCATCGCTGTTCCCTCATACAGACGCTCAAACTTCTTCATCAGATTTGATCTAAACATGATGAGGACTTCATGGCTGGAAAATTAAAATACTACATTATTACATGAGTTACAGAGATAAATGTACAGAGCAAAATGTATTTTCATGTTTTCTGTGTTATGACACATTGAACATATCATAGGGTTTATGAAACGTGTCAGTTATTAATGATGTATTTGAGTAATGTGTGATGATGCACTGCATTAAATCCCACAGTTTACCTCACACCAGGATACGTGCTGTCTTGTGGTTGATTCATAGTCTGGTCATATTTCTCACAGACGGGTTTTGTTTCTGATCTGGGTGGCAGGATTGATCTTGAATCAAGAATCAAACACTCTGACATTGGTGACATTTTTCTCATGACCTTAATAACAGTTGCGACTTTATTAAAAATGCACTTGCTCAAGGTCACAACTGTAAAAAATAAACAGCATTTAAGTAAATGTAAATAAATAAATAATTCTACTCTGTGCTCTATATCTGCTCGTTGTCATTAAATCTACTGGTTCCTAGTCAGACTTCTGTTCATATTTATTACACTGCTGTATAATTTTGAACGTTTAATTTAAAATATTTTACTATAATAATATCTTTTACACTTTTACAAAAAAAATTAAATAATAATACTTGAGGTTAAACCTTGTGTCTTCACTCTTAAAATTAATTAGATGATCCAAAGAGGCATCACTCTTCATAGACACACAGCTGGGCTCTGGTTTTGATCTCTTCTGATGAACTGAACTGTAACAAAGAATACTTTGAATTACTGTATTAATATTAACGTTTCATTTTTACTATGTGGATACAGAAACAATAAACTAAAGTTCTTTCATAGTGTCACGAATCCGGTCTACGAACTTCCGTTCATTCACCACCAGAGGTCACCCGCTCACTACATGGACTCTCACACTACACAGACTGTTACACTATACCCTGGACTACATTTCCCATCATCCACTGCACACAGCTGTAACCAATCACACGCTCATCTGAAAGCTATTACACACACTATATAACACCCACCCAGATCCTGCTCAAGTTGTAGAGTATTGTCTAGCGTTTTTCACTCACCAAGTGTTAGCTGTTATATGGAGTCAGTTTATAGTCATAGTTTTGTCTTTTTCATAGTTCCTAGTTTAGTTTAGTCTAGTCTTGCCTTGCCTGTTTTTCCCGTGTATATGTCTCTGCCTTTGTTTTTGGATTGCCCTGTCGTCTTGCCGTTTGGACTCTGTTTGCCCCTGCCTGGACCATTATCGTGTACCTGGATTATCTCTCTCTGTCTAGCCCTCTGGATGTCGTTTGCTGATCGGAGACCCTCGTCTGCTCTTGGATTATTCTTGTGTCTTGCCCGTACCATACCTGTTTGCCATTGTTTGACCCTGCCTGTGTTCTGAATATGTTTATAAATAAAAGCTTACACATGGATCCTCATGCCTCACGTCTCATCGCCTCCGTTACACATAGACTCTCTGCCATAACTAATATGAATACCATAATAACATAAATACCTAATATAAAACAGAAACACAATATAAATATGACAAACAGCTCTGGCTCTGAGCTCTTCTGCTGAACAGATTTAATGATGACATGCATTTTAATAAAGGACCTTTAAAAATAAAAAAAATAAAAAAAGTTTAACCTAAAAAAAAAAAAGTGTTGAAAGGGTGTTTCTTGTGAATATTTAGATCTGGTGACTTTTGGGAAAATAAAAGTTGATGTATTTCACATATTTACAATATTTATAGGGGACTTACATGTTTAAAAAGTTATTGTTAAGCGTTAGCTTATGTTTATGTTGAAATGTTATGAATTAAATTTTTGCATTTTTCATAATCTGCCCAGAATTGTTTGTATCTCAGGGGATCCGTCACCTTTTTAGGGGAATAAATCATGATATTTTTTTTTACATATAGTCTCTGTGGTCTATAGACTTTAGACTTTGCAGCCTATTTCAGAAAATCAGTTCAATATTTCAAACTCTTAAATGATAATCTATTTTCTATTAATCTTAATCATTAATCATTTAGTTAGCTATATATATATATATATATATATATATGTGTGTGTGTGTGTGAAATAAGATACTCAAAAACACAATATAAAAAAATATGTACAAAATATATATAGTTTGCATATGTGTGTTTGTTTAGTATTGTATTTCATTAGTCAGGTTTTTATGGCTCATATATGCAATTCAGTGACTATTGAGCAATACACAAATAAACCTTCCTCAAAAACCTGTTGTGTCATATTCAACATTTAGCCCAGTACATGTTCATCTTGAATTATTACTAACAACATAAACGTTGTTCTTGCATTCTTGCACTATATAAAAAAATGAAGATTTCAGAGCAAAAATACTTTACTTGATAACAAAAAAAAAAAAAGCATGAACTATCAATCAGAGAGCAGAAGGCATGAAGTAGATTTTGTACAACAGGTTTACCAGCAAAGCTTTGATCATGTTGATAATTTATAGGACCTAGAAATCTGCGTGTCAAACATGATACAGTAGGCTAATATATTCATAAACAGACCTAAATAGAGGGCAGTCGTGGCCTAATGGTTAGAGAGTCGGACTATATGTGCACTTGGATGGAGAAATGCAGAGCACAAATATGGACACCAGACTTGGCCACACATCACTTTCACTTTCACTTTATAATTATTGTTTAACACAATATTAAAACAAATGTTTACTGTAAGTTATGAGAGAATAAAATGTTTTAAGAATGTAGCAAAAATGTTAACACACATTGACTAACAAGCTTTGTGTTTTCAATCAGTTTATTCCCGCAAAGGGGCGACTGGGATACAAACATAATTAACAATAAAAGTCATGTTTTGAAAAAAAAAATAAAAATCACGCATTTGTATTATTTGTGTCCTAATAAGATCGATAATAGCAATAAATTAATTTTCTGATGTGTCTTTATAGTCTTGCTCTTTTTAGGGTTAATATAGTGTGTTTTCAATGTACCTGCATCCTGGAGAAAGCTCTTGATCTCGGGGCGTTCGTGTGTCTTCCATGATGCAGCTGAACAGACAGAAGAGTGAGATCTCCAACACTTACTCTGGGTGGAAATGACAAACTAATCATTCAGCTGAACGGATCCTGAGAGTCGGAGAAACAGCAGAACGACGGTGGCGTTCACTCAAACACACAATGTTAGTCTTATGCGAACACAAATGCTGAAATTAACCACAGGCAATACTAGACAGCAACGAAACCACTTCATCTGCTTAAAAATAAGAGTTTCAAACACATATCAAAGAACACACGTCCTTCAGGAGAAATATGAAAGCGGAAGTCACCTGCAGCGTCGACTCACCTGCGCTTCCTCTGCCAGTGACGTCACACGCATTCTCCACTGCTCGCGGATCTCTTCTTCTTTTATTTTAATGCCACATTAACATAACACTGGATTTTCTACATTTATTATCAATTTCATCTAGGCCTATATGCTTTTTTTTCTTTCTTCTTCTTCATGTATGTCAAACTAGATTCACGGCGCTGTGTTTGTTGTTAGGAAAACAAAAATAAAAGAAGCGGCCAGAATTAAGCAGCAGCGAAATATAGCAAAATTACTGACCTGTTCAGGGCTTCAAGTGCAGGTTTCATCTGTAAATAGTCTACGGTATTTTTGTCTTTGTTAATTCAGTTAAATATTAAACTGCTAGCGAATGTTTATCAGTAGCATCCCATTATTATCCTCAGTCAGAATACTGTTGAAGGACATCATTATTATCTATTAATAAAATTAGCAGACAGATGTTCACATCTATTTATAATAAAGGAGGGAGCTAGAGCAGACAACACCACAAAAATATGAGTCATAATAATGCAATAACGTGTTCAGTATTATTTTTCTATAAACATATTGTACTAATTTTGAGATTAAGGCACTTTAGAAAATTTATTGTAAAATATTTGTATAAAATAGTTATTAGCTTTTTTATTATATTATCCAAAGGTACATCAGCTGGCAAACCTTAGGCAGTAAAGGCGTAGAGTCTATTTAAAGGGAATGATTGTGGGGGAGTTTGGTCAAACTATGGCAGTGATACAGTTTGTGCTAAATCAGACGGAGCCATCTGCGGAGCCATTTAGTGTCTGTGCACTAAAACTTTAGTCTCCTGGCTACCATGACAGAAGCTGCAATTGCAAAAAAACAAAACAAAACAAAAAACAGCAGCTTATAGATCTTGTTGGTCCGACTTTGTCGAGACAAACTTGGAGTTACTGTACCCCCTCAGCCCCGAAATTCAGCTGCTGGCGGCTCTCCTCTTTCTCTCTTTTTTCTCCGCCATCTGTTGATTATACACTCTAAAAAATGCTGGATTGTTTCAATCCAACTTTGGGTCAAATATGGACAACTGTTGGGTTAAATTTTTAAATTACATTTTTAACCCAAAAGTTGGGTTAGTCCATATTTGACCCAAAGTTGGGTTGAAACAACCCAACATTTTTTAGAGTGTATGTTTCGCGTATTGCACTTTTATTGATATATTTGATATATTTTAATATATAATATTTTATAGCTCATCGAATAACAGAAATGAGTGACTTACACCAATAATGTGATGCGGCTGCTGGGTAATTAACCCTGGTTGAGGAGTAAATGAAGACACTATGGAAAATATATCACGATAATATAAATGACTCTTTCAAAGGCCAGTGAAGGCAGACTGCCAGTTAGTGATAGCATGATACATTTGGGCATGAGGTTGCGGGTTCGTGCACTCATTTCGAAATTTGATAAAAAAATCCAGGGTTGGATTTAGCTTGCAATTTGGATTATTTTTATAAGATCCCATGAGTCCTGATAAATGCAATTTCAACTATTTCTGAAGTGCTTCTTGTTGGAAAGCACTCTTACCAGAATGTTTTTCTGTTGGACTTGTGTAGGCCTATGTTGTTGTTGTTTTTCTTTTGTTAAAATCTGTTAAATTATTAAGCAGTGTCTCGTGTAGGTTTTTTCCTTGTATTTTATGTGGATTGCCACTGGGAGGTGCTCTGGGCATATATTTTTCTTTCTTGGTTTTCTTCCCTGATGTGATGTATGATGCAAAGTGAAAGTAAAAGTTTCACGGAAGTTTGTTGCGTTCTAACAGGAAAGAGTTCCATGTCTTTATTTAAAAACATCACTTATTTTATCAAGAGCACCGCTTTCTCACATAACGCACTGAAGCAGTGAATAATCCATTCTCGAGCTTTCAATATCAACCAGTTCAGCACCACCGCCATGGACAGCGCCAGGTAACGTCGCACGTAAGAAAGCAATAGTTCGGGAAACACGCCTAGAAAATGTATACCTTTAGTTAAGAGTCTTTGTAGCGCGCTAAGAGACAACGTTATCAGGAAACGCACCACAGAACAGTTTTTTTTTTTTTTTTTTTTAGTCAATGTCAAGTCAGTCTTTTACAATCATAAAATCTTCAAAGACATTCAGTAAAGGTTTTAGGACGTCACAGAAGCAGTAAGAGCAGCCAATGGGAATCTGTGGGAAGAAAACTGTTATCAGTAGGCTATTCCTGTTCATTAAATGACTTATAATCATTACTTATCTTATATTCATGTTTGAAAATTTACATCAAAAACAGCTTTACCTCGTGCTATCTTGTTTGTCAGACATTTGTTTCATAGCGGGACCACAGCTGCAACAATGGCACTCTAGATCAATAGCGCTCCTGTTGTAGTCAGTGGAGCGCACGGAAACTTAGTCACATATAACAGCGAAGTCGCGTCGTGTTTCAGCCCTGGTCGCACATTCGTTTGGCGGGAGGTGAAACTTCCACGATGGCGCTGGCGCGTCGTTCGCGTTTAGTGGAGATCCGGTGAATAGCTGCGACGAACATTTAAACAAAAATGTGAGATTACAGACGTTGTCCCATTTATACAGTAATAACCCAACAGGCTGAACCCAGCATTTGGGTTAAAAAAATAACACAGCATTTTTAGAGTGGTCAGTAAATAAGAACAAATGAACAAATTATAAGCAATAGCACAAATAAATAAATAGAACAAAGATAAAAAATGTAACAATGCTTTAGGTTTTTGGTTTTTAGGTGTTCAGGTAAAGAAATTGAATAATCAAATGTAAAATAACATTGCATAATTTTCTATGTAGCCTATTTTTTCAGTTCAAGCGCAGATCGAGGCTCGCGCGCTCCGAGACGCGGCTCTATGTGCATAGAACACACTGAACAGAGCTCTGTTTCGCGTCTTCTTGCCCTTGAATGCTTTAAACGCTCTTGAATGTTTAAATCAGCAAGGCCTAAAACACGTGCAAATGATGGTTTTTGCTTGTTACTATTGGCCTACAATTATCCAGGATGTGACAGAGCAGCTTCTTCTGACTTTCTTTTTTCCAATTAAAATAGATGACAGACTCTTCTACGTCGGCCCCAGTAGGCAGTACATCCGGCTAGTTGTCCTGTCAGAGGAAGAGAAGAGGTCTGTTCTTACGGAGTGCCACAATAACCCTGGGACTGGCAATCACAGTGGCGTCAGAGGCACTCAAAACAGGGTTATTGCTGGCTACTATTGGTCTACAATTATCCAGGATGTGAAAGAATGGGTAATGTACTACATATGTGGTACTTTATTTTCACTTCTACTTTTGCCCGTTTTGTTTTCTTTTCAAGTATCTATACTTAAGAATATGTACATTCTTGCCACCTCTGATTGTTAGATACCTCCTTGATTTAGAAGTTATATTTATTGTCATCACCAACTTGTATCAACTGGCTATTTTTCTAGACATTTTGATAAAAAATTTGTGTTGCTATTTAGGTCAGATCTCGTCACCGCTGCCAGTTGAATGATTTGCACTACAAATCATCTGCACTGTTCCCCAGCCAGCTGCTTGACTTACGATGTTTCTCTTTGCACATGTACAGTATTATGTGAAGCATCCGTATAGTCTGTATTTTATTTAATTTATTTATAAACTTGCAGGTCAATGGGCATCAGTGTTTAAGGTTGATAAACACGTGTACACAGATGCATATAATACTACCTGCCTGACATTGGCATGTGTTATTCAGTT